ACTGTCTTTCATGTAGAGAGAAAATATCCCCTGGAATTTATGGGTTCCAGGTCAGATATTATAAAAATTATTTTCCCATCTGTCCCCTATTTTGATATCTATATTTCTGAATTCATTTAAGTCTCAGACTCTTCTTCCTAAACTTTAACAAACCGCTTTCGGTTTCCTGTTAAAAAGGATACAGAACCTCTAAAGTGTAGATCTTATCATCCAGTATCTCTGCCCAATTTTGATCTAATGGTTTTGGTGAAAGCTCTTGCTCACTAACTTTTAATTTGCCTTTCCTTTGTTGTTTCCTCAGACCAGACAGGAAGTATTTGTCTTTCTTTAAACAATTTCAGTATTTTATACTGTTTATCCCTTATACTGTATACTGGCATACAGTATATATATTTCATTTTGATTCATAGTAGTTTGCTGTATTTTGTCTGTACTTTAGTAAAAGCTCTGTGGAGGTACCTAAGCTGATTACACATTTAGCCAATGTGACTTGAAAAAAGTCAGACTGTTGCAATATTGCAGAGTTCTTGTCTGATTGGTAAGTTTGTAATATGATTAAGGTAATACCCAATTGTGTAAGTAAATTTGGTAAATCCTGCACGTGATCATTAACATTACAATATTAGGTATGTCTGACTTACCGTTTCTTGCCCCAAATTTGATGGTCACTTTTCTGGACAACAGAATTGTCTTTTTTAATTAAGAACAATAACACTGAGGTGTTTCTTACTACTGAATTTTATTTTTGTTGTCATTCCATCATTTTTTTCCAAGCTAAAGTATTAAAAACCAAAAAAAACAAATTACAGTATATTTATATTGTTTCCTTTTTTTCTTTCCTCCCTTTTTGGAATTTGTTACCTATGAGGTAAGGTTTATTGCCCAGATAGGGACATGTTTTGCATCCCCCAGAAATCTCTGCCTGAATAATTGAGAAACCTTCCTGCTTGCTTTACAAATCCCTGTTTTACTAAAACTGCATTATGTCCACAACATAGTGCCTTGAGGGTCTCCTGTCCACCTGTGTTATCTTTGGCTGACAATAAATACTCAAGCACGGTGACAGTAGCTTTCATTTGTATTCCTAGTATTGTCAAATTGCTGCTGCTCTCTCTTTGGGGCAGGTGTTTTACTTTTTGCCTGCATGCTGCGGGATGGAATTTGAAGTGTCAAATTACAGATCTCGAAAAGGCATTGCTTTTTAATCTTAATCACACATTATAAGTATGCAAATATGTCTTCTGGATTTGTTTGTGTCCATGAGGACCTACGGGCGTTTCTCTTTCTAAATAACCAAGATTTACTCAAAGAATGTATGGTGTCATGAAGAGGAATGTTTTTTCTTCGAATTTCTCTAAATCTTATAAATTTTTTAAACAAAAATAATTGTGTGATTAATGAGAAAATTAAAGCTGTTTATGGAAACATAACTATCCTACTATGTTTTTAATTCTAGAATTTGCCTCTCAAATTCTCGCAAAAAGTATTACACCTTTTCTGCAGCAAACCTAATCTCTAATGCATGGTTGTTTGTTTTTTCACTTGCCATGCACTAAATATCCCCTTTGAATTGCCTTCACAGCAGTGAAAAGTTTGATGAACAAAAAGCCAGATGGTGTGAAGGTAGGTTTGACCTCATCACCTTTGTTTTGACTTTCCTTTACAAACCTTTCACGCTCGTTATTGCAGGACGTGGCACAACAATTTAAATACTCATAACTGGAATGATGTTTTCAGGGCGTGGAGTACTACTCTCGTCTCCTTTACTTACAGTGGTAGCTGTAAAAACTGGAACTTGTTTTAATTTAGTACTGTACACACAGCTGATGGTTAGATTTGGATTCTCTATGTGAATACTGTATATCACTGAATAATGCCCCGTAATGATTCAATGCATTATATTCAGTTCGGATTTATAGTTAAATGTAGTTTGAAAATCTTTATTTATGTAGGCTAGCTACTTTTGTGATAAATGTGTGGCACTTGAAATCGAAACTAAACTTACTATTTATGTTTGTTGCCTTAGCTTGAGTTAACAATTGCTGGGTCAAAAAAGCTCTTTAGCGGTATGAGTCAGTGTAGCGTCTCAGGATACAAATGCTTCCAAAAATGAGTTAGCTTTTCCTTGGACGTGACCTGTGGAAACAAACTGGAGTCTCATGGCAAGCTGCAGCTGTAAAGGATGCGTAGAGGTCAGCTGGAGAAATGTGGTGTGAGTTGTAGTTTCCCTAACCTCTCCAGAGGGACCAATTTGTCTGCTGGTTTTCATTTTGGTGGAGTTCTAAATCTCCTGTGGTAACTGATGACTTTAATTGATCTGCTTGCTTGTTTAGGCTTTCGGTGAACTTGTTTCCAAATTCATTCCTCAGTTTCCAAATAACTCTGATTTCAAGGGTACTGCTTCCAACAGCTTCAGCCTACAAAACGCAAAGCAGCCTCTCCATTAAGCTTGTACAGTACCTACAGTAGCTCTAGCTAGGTACTGTAAGCAGATTTTGATGAACGGACACAGGTGGAACTGAAAATGTATCAGATGCTTACTCTGTGAGATTTATTTGTCTCCTGCACGTCAAGTTGGTGGTTACCTGTCGGGTAGTACACATGAGTGAGGATAGTCCTGAAACTTGGTAGTGTAATTGATTCCAACAGAAGAATAGATACCAGTTATACTGTATATCCTATGCAACTTTTAAGTTGAAAGCAAATTTAAAAAATATGCCCCAACTCGAAAACTGCAAGCAATTAGCATGTGATTGAAAGCAATGGCTGGAGCAAAAACCAGAAGACATAGTGGTCCCTCCTGGACAGGGCATAAGAACAAGTCTTGGAAAGTACAGTATATGGTTGAAAGTCAAATTTAAGATGGAAGGCAAAAAGCTACCCATAGATACCGGAGGCTGGTGTAAAACGAATCAAAATGGTGGATCAGCAATACTTTCTTGCTTAGAAAATCAAGTTGTAAATAAAATAGAACATTGATCATTTTCTTTTCTCCTTTAACATTGAATTACAGGTAAGTTTTAAGTCATACTTTTTCTCCATTATTGCAGAATGTTAGCAAACGTATATAAAAGTGTATTTTATGTACTGTATAAGATGTATGAAGTATTATTTTTCAGGTATCACTTATCAGTGGGTAGGATGTTTAGG